TGACTTCATCCTCCTGATGGAGAAATAAGGGGAGTAGCAAGTGACTTCATTTCTCACGGCAGCCTTTCTCGTGAGCTCTTTCTCAGGAGAAATCTTGATCCATGGCAAACCATCTGTGGAATTCCCGGCTGCAGCCCTTGGCAAGAGATGGGAGGATAGAATGACAGTGCCAAGGAGGCAGCTGAAGGATCGTCACCCTGGGAGCCACAGCCTTGGCTTGCTTTTTCCAATGGGCCATAAAGTCTGAGGGAGGCAGGTGGAAGCGGGGGGCGGCACCAGACAAATAAACTAGAGTCTCAAGTGTAGTCATCATGTGCCCACCTGGGAAGTAGTTATACACAGATGCTGGGGCTGGGCTCACGATCCCTGCTCTACCACCTGCTGGCTGAACAACCTTGGGCAAGATACTGGATTACTATGCCTCAGTTTCCTCTTCTTAAAAATGTGAATAACAGGCCAGGCACGGTGGCTCATGCCTATAATCCCAGCTCTTTGGGAGAATGAGGCAGGCGGATCACGAGGTCAGGGGATCAAGATTATCCTGGCCAATATGGTGAAACTCTGTCTCCACTAAAAATACAAAAATCAGCTGGGCATGGTAGAGGGTGCCTGTAGTCTCAACTACTTGGGAGGCTAAGGCAGGAGAATCGCTTAAACCCAGGAGGCAGAGGTTGCAGTGAGCTGAGATTGCGCCACTGCACTCCAGCCTGGCAACAGAGCAAGACTCTGTCTCAAAAAAAAAAAAAAAAAAAAAAAGAATAACAGTAACTCCTACTGCATATGGTGGTGAAAAAGAGTAGATGAGTTAATAGTTATAAGATAGAGGCAGGCCTGGTGGCATGGGCCCATAGTCCTAGCTACTTGGAAGGCTGAGGTGGAAGGATTGTTTGAACCCAGGAGTTCAAGACCCGCCTGGATAACATAGCAAGTTCCCCATCTCTTTTTTTTTTTTTTAGACAGAGTTTCACTCTTGTTGCCCAGGCTAGAGTGCAATGGCATGATCTCAGCTCACTACAACCTCCACCTCCCAGGTTCAAGCGATAATCCTGCCTCAGCCACTGGAGTAGCTGGGATTACAGGCATGCACCACCACACTGGGATAATTTTTGTATTTTTGATAGAGATGGGATTTTACCATGTTGGTCAAGCTGGTCTTGAACTCCTGACCTCAGGTGATCCATCCACCTCAGCCCCCCAAAGTGCTGGGATTACAGGTGTGAGCCACCGCACCCAGCTGCAAGACCCCCATCTCTCTTAAAAAAGAAAATTATGAACTATTTAGGAGAGTATATGATCCATCGTAAGCGTTATATAAATTTCATGACATAAAATTAAGGTTCTAGTCCCATAAACTTTTTTTCTGTACTAAGCTCAGCCTTGGATACCTCTCATATTTTCTGTGAGAAGTGAACAAAGGCATGTGAAAATCACAGTGTATTTATGTTTGTTATTTGTCATCGAGATCACGTAAGAGGGCTGATGGAGCAGGGGGTGAAGGGATGCGAAAGGGGCTGTCAGTCATCAACTTTTGATTATCTGCCTTGTTAAGGTCCCTTCTTGTCAACATCATCAGCTCTTTGGCTTGTTCAAGTCTTCTGCTGACAATATCCAGGCCTCTCCCACACACAAGGGGCGGCACAGCAAGGACTGGAAGAAAAATGCCTGTGAAAGCAAAATGGGTTCTTCTCTTCCTTAGCCGTGAAGCAGGAATAGCCACTAGACAGGAGGCTGTGAGAGGATCTTGGCACCTCCGCCTTGATCACTTTGCCTTTGGGCAGGAGGGGAAACTGATCAGCTCCCTCTGTGCTAGGGCTTCGGGAAGAGATGCTGGCATTCGTTATGAGGTGCTCGGAATAAAAACACATACATATCCCAGTGTCCCAAGCAAACGTTCTGCCACTTACTGTATGGATGTAATTTCACATAGCTACTTAAACCCTGGGTCTCAGTTTTCCTCATCTTCAAAATGGAAATGTTGATGCCTAATTCAAAGGGCGAAAATCAATGAGATCTAAAAACCCCTTTGGTGGACATCTGGTCCAATCAGTGGTAGCTCTTACTAGCTAACATTTGGTAGTTATCTGCCCACTATCTCCAAGGGATGGAAAAGTCATGCTGACTTCCAGACTAGGAAAGGCAGTGGTAGCAGAAAGTGATTTATGATTGACGTTTTTCACGTTTTCGTTCCAGAGCACATAGGAAGTAGTTGTTGGTTCATTCATTCACTGAACAGTGTTTACAAACTTGAACAACTTGCCATTGTTTTGTTCACTTGTATTCATCTTACTCTCACCACTAGAACTGCAAGGTCCAGGAGGACAAAGGCAGTGTCTGTTGCTTGATGAGTGACTGGACTGAGCTCTAAGCATGTCTGAAGATTGAAATGGGCCAGGCAAGGACACGGAAACTGGAGGCCTGGATTCTGGGCTCAGTCATACCTCCAAGAACATCACCTTCCCTCGACTCTGGAGCTTTCACAGATCTTCCTTCCACTGTGAGATACTGGAGAATCACTTGAGACCAGACTCGGGGAACTTTTCCTGGTGGGAAGACATTGATTCATATACTCTGTGTCTCTGAACTCCCAAGAGAAGAGTTTGAATTCCCTAGTCTGAAGAGTCCACAAGTGATCAACATAGCAATCATGATAAAAAGGGATAATTAATAAAGGAGGGAGTAGATCTACCTCAGTAACAACAGAGGGAGGAAAATTCCAGCTAGTACATGTACTTAACATGAAAGAAGATATGTGCCAAGACCCTGCTTTCACGGATATTAGGTGTTCCCAAATATAAGAAAGACCCATTATTGATCACAGACCTCATTTGATACTATCCAGGATGTCTAGAGAATAAGAGGAAAGGAAGCATCGTAATATCCAAAAGGTGGAAACAACCCAAATGTTCATGAATAAATGAATGAATAAACAAAATGTGGTATATCCATACAATGGAATATTATTCAGCCATGAAAAGGAATGAAGTACTGATTAATGTTACAACATGAATGAACCTTGAAAACACTATGCTCAATGAAAAGATAGTCACAGAAGGCCTCTTATTATATGATGCCATTCATACAAAAATCCAGAATAGGGAAATCTACAGAGACAGAAAGTACGTTAGTGTTGCTAACGGCAAGAAGGAATATGGGGGGATAGAGAGGTGATAGCTAAAGGTTACAAGATTTATTTTTGAGGCAATGAAAATGTTCTAAAATTAACTATGGTGATGGTTTGACACGTCTGTGAACATACTAAAACCATTGAATTGTACATTTCAAATGGTGAATTGTATGGTATGTGAATTATACCTCAAAGTTGTTTTTAAAAAAGAAGCGTAAGGGGTAGGGGGAGGTTGAGATGAAGCAGGAAAACAGTGATCAGAGACAAAGCTCAGGCACTGTCTGTCCTAGCTGCCCCAAGTCAAAGCCTGCATTTCATACAGGCAATGTTAGGGTAGCCCCCAAGCCACGATTCGGGAAGATAAATTGACCCCAGAAGGTATGGGGCTGGGTCCCTTCTCCTCTGACAGCTCCCTTTCTGTGTTTTTTCTGGCACAAGAAACTCTGTCTTCTTGTATAAATAGGAGAAATTTATGGCAGTTTTCCCTCTTCTTCTCCCTGGTGGGCTACTAGGAAAGCCTAGGGGGAGGAGAGAGCCTGAGATTCCAAAAATATAAATGTGGAAAGACGGAGGTCGAGGAGTCTCTTTGCCTGCCTTGGCTCTGGCCCCAGCTCTCCTTTCCTTTTGCATGTTTGACCATCTGGGTGATGAGGAGGGTAGAGAACTGATGCAGCCCATTCTTTCTTTATGCCCGAAAGAGATGAGTCCCAAGGCAGATATCTGACAGGAGGGCTGCAAGGGAAATCAAGGAAATGGGTTTGGCTGTCCCATGGCATTATTGGAGGAGACACAGACCACCGCCCTCCTTCCTGGATTGGTTATTTTTGTACCTCCCTGTTTGTTGAGGCAGATACAGTGGGAAAATAACTCGTCCTAGATTTAGAAAGATTGACAGAGAATCTATGTGTGTGACCTTAAGCAAATCATGTCATTCTCTGGGCGTCACCTGTAAAAAGAGGGCAGGCATTGAATTTATCAGGGGTTTTCAAATAGATTTAAACTCTGGGGTCCTTTCTTCAAATAAAACCACTTGTAGTGACCCAACAGGAACACAAGTAGCCTGCTGAGCTTCTTGAAGGAAAGAACAGGAGTCCCGGGCCCCTGTGCTGACTGGAGAGGGGTTTGTCCAAGAACAAGATGGTCTTCATGGCTTTTCCTGCTCTGTCCTCAGGAGGAATTTGCCCCCATGGTGAAAAGGCTCAGCTCTGCACACCCAGTGGGCTTGAAATCCAGCTCTACTCTCTCCTGTATATCCCTCAGCACATAATTTATCTTCCTTCAACCTCAGCTTTCTCATGTGTGAATTGGAATAATAATAACACATACCTCAGAGGATTGTCACATGGATCATACTAAATAATGTGCATAGAGTCCTTCGCATACTATCTGGCTCAATAAATACTATTACATTACAGTTATTCCATGATCTGATGTAATCCTTTTTCTTTTCTTTCTTTCTTTTTTTTTTTTTTTTTTTTTTTTTGAGACAGGGTCTCATTTTTGTAACCCAGGCTGGTATACAGTGGCATAATATCGGCTTACTGCAACCTCTGCCTCCTGGGTTCGAGCAATTCTCCTGCCTCAGCCTCCTGAGTAGCTGGGATTACAGGAGTGCACAACCATGCCCAGCTTATTTTTGTATTTTTTTCAGTAAAGATGGGGTTTTACCATGTTAGCCAGGCTGGTCTCAAACTTCTGGCCTCAAGTGATCCACCCGCCTCGGCCTCCCACAGTGCTGGGACTACAGGCACGAGCCATCGCACCTGGCCTGATGTAATCTTTTGGATTTTAAATGATATATCTGGTGTGAGAAGGTGAATTAGGAAGGACAGCAGCAAAACTGCTATAACATAAAGGCTCAAAACACAGTAGCACATAGAAAAGAGAAGTTTATTTCTCACTTAGTCTGGGAGGACGCAGTTCCAGACAGCAGGCAGCTCTGTTCCACCTGGTCAGCTGGGATGCACATTCCATTCACACCTGAGCTTTGTCGTCTCTCAGGGATGTCTTTTCAGTTGCCAAGTCCAACCTGTCTCAGGCACATCTGCCCAGCACATGAAAGACAGAACACAAAGGAGAATTTACCCAATGTCCTCAGGCTTTAGGACATACTCGCCTCACATTCCCCTGTGTCTACACCTGGCAACAAGAGCAGCTGTGAAATGGAGTGTCCAGCTGGGTGTCTCTACCCTCGTGCAGCAAGGAAAGAAGAGATTTTAGTGGACAAAGGGTATTCATCCAGGGCTCAAACCTACACCTGAGCTGTCCTCTTCCCAGAGGAAGGGAAATAAAGTCCACAGCCCAGAAAACAATGTGAACACCCCCTAACACACACACCCAATTAGGTCCCTGCCATTCATCCAAAGATCAGCAGTCTCAGGAAAGTGGCTTGGAAGAGATCTCTCTCTTCCAGAGAGATCACCCTTCTATCCATCTTCTTCACATGGGTGGATGTGAGAAGAGTTTCTGTCCCCACTGCCTGCCTGCCACTCCCTCTCTTCAGCTCATGCTCTAACCCCTTGATCCCAGTCACCAGGAGTGACTACAAATGTCGGGGAACAGGAGGACCTGAACCAGCCATAGAAGTTGAGACTGAGACACAGAAGCCATGCTCAGAGGCAGCCTAGGCATGGGTTCCAGTGCCAGGAAACCCAGCTACCACTGTGTAACCTAAGGCAGGGATTAAGCTCTCTGAACTTCAATGAACTCTTTTGGAAATAGGGATAAGAAATCCACTTGTCAGGGCTGTTGTGAGCATCAGACGTGATCATGTATGTACCTGGTACATAGTATGCCCTCAATAAATGGTGCCAGCAAGACAAACCCAGGACAAATCAAATTCATGTCCATTGCTCTGACCCAGCCTTTGCATGAATCATTTTTTCTTCTCCTTCTTTGCCAATGCATGGCTCCCTTCCTGATCTTAACTTCCTCTCCTCATTCCCAGACCATCTGAATCCTGATCTAGAATTTCTTTTTTCAGGAAGTCTTCCATGATTGAAAAATTCCTGCTTGGCCGCTTCCCACTCCAGCTCTCTGTCTGCACCCATTCTTCCATCTACCCCATGGTCCCGGCCCAAATTTACGTGTGTCCCATCCCTCCCTTCAAAAAAACGGGTAACAATGGAAGGGCTTCAAGTTTGTCACTGGCAGATCAGAGTTCAGATTCCTACTCCGCTGAGTTCTGGCTTTAGGACTGTGTCAGATCACTTCATCTCTTCGAATCTCTGTATCCCCCACCCTCTGGTGAGGTCAAGTGTGTGCGGACTGGTACATAGAGGATATTTAGTCTCCTCTGCTCTACCCAACCTCCTGCAACCCACACTCCCAGGACTAACTGTCTATCAAAGGGAGTTATTAGACCAAGAAAGTAATTCTCCCATTACCAGCCCCTCCTCCACCCCACCCAGGGGAAAAGAAGTGACTTCAGATCTATAGGTTTTAGAGGTACCACTAACTCAAGAGCTACAGCAGAGGAAGCACTTGGACATCCCAGCTTCCAGGGTTATGGGATCTCTCCCTAAGCCATCTTACGTAGCCCCAGTTATAGGACTAGCTTCAGGGATAGGAGTGGAAGGGTTTATCGGCTTCCAGTCTTAGCCTATTAGTAATAGCTCAGCTGTGCCTCTGTTTGCAACCTTCCTAGATCAGAAGAGCAATAATATCAATGATAACTAACACTTATATAGCGTTTCCTATGGGACGGGCGTTGTTCCAGGCTCTTTGTGCACATGACTCAGCAGCCTTTGCACTAGATAGTATTAACCCCATTTGACAGACAAGGAAACTAAAACACAAGGGGTGAAGTCACTTGTCTGGGTCATACAACTAATATAAGGAATGACTGAGATTCGAAACCAGACCATCTCGCTGCGGAATCCATCCTGTTAACCGCTGTGCCACAAAAAGAGCTAATATTTACTGGCAGTTTCTATGTGCCAAGCACTGTGGAAAACACAGGACATCAAAGGGAGTTATTAGACCAAGAAAGTAATTCTCCCATTACCAGCCCCTCCCCTACCCCACCCAGGGGAAAAGAAGTGACTTCGAATCTATGGGTCTTAGAGGTACCACTAACTCAAGAGCTACAGCAGAGGAAGCACTTGGACATCCCAGTTTCCAGGGTTATGGGACCAGGTTATTTCATCTGGTTCCGAATAACCCCCTCAGATAAGTTCTATTATTATTATTTTTGAGATGGAATCTCGCACTGTTGCCTGGGCTGTAGTGCAATGGTGTGATCTCAGCTCACTGCAACCTCCACCTTCTGGGTTCAAGCAATTCTCTTGCCTCAGCCTCACAAGTAGCTGGTATTACAGGCGCCTGCCACCACACTCTGCTAATTTTTTGTATTTTTAGTGGACACAGGGTTTTACTATGTTGGCCAAGCTGGTCTCGAACTCCTAACCTCACTGCCCGCCTTGGCCTCCCAAAGTGCTGGGATTACAGGCATAACCCACCGGACCCGGCCAAGTTCTATCATTATAATAAAATCCTCTATTATTATTATCCCTGTTTTACAGGTCAAGAAACGAAGGCAGAGAGAAAAGTTAAGCAACTTGCCCCAAGTCACACAACTAAATATGAATAGTTTCAGAATGCCGTCGGGCGCAGTGGCTCACGCTTGTAATCCCAGTACTTTGGGAGGCTGCGGTGGGTGAATCACCTGAGGTCAGGAGTTCGAGACCAGCCTGGCCAACATGGAGAAACCTTGTCTCTACTAAAAATACAAAAATTAGCCGGGTTTGGTGGCAGGCGCCTGTATATACAGCTACGTGGGAGGCTGACGCAGAAGAATCACTTGAACCACGGAGGTGGAGGTTTCAGTAAGCTGAGATTGTCCCATTGCATTCCAGCCTGGGCAACAAGAACGAAGCTCTCCGTCTCAGAAAAAAAAAAAAAAAAAAAAAAAAAAAAAAAAAAAAAAAAAGCATTTCAGAACCCCTAGCTGTTTTGCCTCAAATACCCCCTCCCCAACCCATTCCTGAAGTCCCTTCCTTTCTAGATGAGTTGTTTAGCTCCTGGCACCAGTTCTTCACAAATCTGCCTTACCCCCACAGCCTACCACCTTTGTTCTCTAAAACTGTTATTGATCTCTGTCTCTTTCCCCTCCCACTTTCTCCCTAGTCCCTCCACTCCCCACAAAGTCCCCCAAGCCATTCTGTCCCTCTCCCTCAGCTCCCCTCCTCCCTCCCCCACAACTCCTCCTGAAACCAATGAATTTCACCCAAAAAGACCGTCAGATTTTTCCCCAATCAGGCCCCCACTGTGCCTGTGCCTCACGCCCCCAGGGGAGGCACCACAGTGGCTAAGCTGGAGAGCCAGAAATAAAATCCTCATTCTACTCCCCTGCCCCCTCTTCCCATCACTCATCTGGGAATCCAGGGTGAAGAAGGGAGCTAAAGTGCAGAGCATTCATTTAATATTAACAAATTGAAATGAATTCTTTTAATGCCAATTAACTTGGAGCGGCCCCTTATTAATAGTAATTTAGATTCATACTTGGGAGAAACAGGGACGGGGGCTGGGCCAAATGTGCCCAGAATGTCAATGTGACTGGGGAGCCGAGAGGAGGGGCGACAGTTTTACTTCTGCCCAGTTGGGTTCTGTTTCCCTGAGAGAAATGGACAGTCCCTGGAGGCAGATCTTGTGGAAACATGAATTACTCTTGTAATTTTATTTTTGTTATTTCGATGAATCTGAATAGTTTGAAACCAGGTCACACCATTTTAATGGTTTGTCTTCACAGTAATGTGAAAAAGAATTTCCTCAGAGCTGGGATTTACTCCAAACTCTCTCTTCAGCCAAATCTTACTGACCAAAGGGACGAGTCCCCAGGCCAGCTCTCTACCCTTCTTTGTTCAAAGCCAGAGCCAGAGATCAATATGGGGTTCCCCGTTCCCTGCCCCTTCTACCTTAACCAAAACTAAAAGGAAGAATAAACACTGTGTGTCTCTCTGAGAAGTCTCCCCCAGGAGGTAAGAGACCCAAAAGGCTGACTGCTAAGCTAACAGCTTACATTTAAGGAGGAAAAACAATCTGCTTGCATTTGTCTTAGAATTTAGGGAAAATATGAGGATTTAAAATTCAGTTTAATGCATCAGAGAGTTGTCCAGAATACAGCCACGTAGGAAGAACTTAGTCTCAAATGAAAAAGTTGAACAGAAATTCTGCTCTCACTGGTTTTGGCGGGTTGCAGGTCAGACCGGAGGTGTCCTGAACTAGAACCAGAGCATAAGTTCCGTCCCAAGAAGGACACTGTCTGCTTCCCAGGCCTCCCTCCTTGGGAGGAGAGGGGAGGATGAGTCAGTTGGAAGCTGAGATTGTGAAAGTTGGGGATGGGGTTTTGAGATGGAGGAGGCAGGCGTGGGAAGGAGGTCAGAGAAAAGTAAGTAAATCTACTAACCGCTGAAGTTTATAAAATAAAAACCCGAACAATGGTTAACATGCAAAAGATCACATTTTTTTTTTAAAAAGTCAGGTTTAAAAGAAAGTAAAATACCTCAAATTTAAACATAATAAAATTGAGGAAAACACATAAAACATTTCAAGCAGATTGTTCTTCAAAAGAGGAGAGGTTGGAATTAATCAAGAGATCTTTTTTACACCTCCCCCCACCAGAGATTCCCAAACAATAAATTCATTTACAAAACAAAAAGAGGAATCAACACAAAACCTCATCCACACACAGAGGGAAAAAAAAATTGTGGTGATTCTGTAACAGTTGAAAAAACTAGGAGAAAAATGAATAAATTCAATCTATTAGGTGATATATATAAATAGCAAAATTGGAGGATGATGTGGAGAAAGGAGTCGAACTCATCACTGAAGCAGTAACACATGTGAAAACATAAAGTGTAACATCCCCAAAGAAAAGTAAATTCTCCATAAAGCAGCAAGTATAAAAATTGATTGAAAAAGAGGAAAGTACCACTCACCCCCCAATAAGAGTATTAATTTGTATTAATTTGAATTAAAATTTTCTCCAAGTCCGAGATAGGTTACACAAAAGAAAACAAAAAGATATTTTTTTTCTTTCAACTAAGAGGGAAAACAAAATCCGATTTAAATTGACTAATGGGACAGGAAGGGAGGCTGTGGTTGGCAGGTGCTAGTAAAGGGGGTGGGGGTAGTGAAGAGTTTGACGGGTAGAGGACCAGCTTACCTCGCTTTGGAGCCGCCGTGGCCAACAGGAGTGGGCAAAGGACCCTGCCAGTGCCTGGGTGATAGGGGAAATAAGAAACAGGGGATCCGGATGCCCCTAGACGAATGAGGAGGATGGAAGGACTTGGGGCGCCCATCTCCCCTCCTCTGCCCGCCTCCCTCCTTCCGGTACCCAGGCCTAGAGAGCTACTGAAAGTTACAAATTGCTTCCATTATTAGCTCATCCCGGGCGGCCTGGTCATTGGCCAGCCCCTGACCACGTGGTCCCTTATACCAATCGATCGAATTTCTAGTCGCAATTCTCTGTCTGTCCCTCGGCTCTGGGGAGAAAGGGGGGGGGCTGTGGCGTGGGGGCTGAGGAGGGGCTAAGGCGGGAGGGGCTCCTCATCCCCTCACCCTCCCTTTTCGCCTTGTGGGGGCCCTGAGCGCCGCCCCAGAAGGGATCGCGGGAATGTTGTGGGCTGGGGCACAACGGCGGGGCAGAAACTGGAGGAAGCGAGAGACGTCGCCAGGGACCCAGGGACCTCTCCCTCCAGTTTCCCCGCCCGCCCGGGCCCGCTCGCCACTCCCGCTATCGCGCCCACCCTGTCCCGGGCCGTCCCGCGCCAGCAGCGTAGCCCCAGCCCGGGCGCCCGAACGCTCTCCCTCCGCATCACTGCTCGGGTCCCCACTTTGGCGACCGTGCCCCCGAGTCCCGCTTTCCCCGGGCCTGATCTGGATCGGGCGCCTGCGCCTTCAAGGGTACCCGGCTCCCTTGCCCTCCTCAAGGGCCGAGTTTGCGCCCTTCCCGGAATCGTTTGCGAGAAGGACAAACTTTTGAGCGGATAGAAATCTAGTCTAGAGGAGCTGGTTGGCAGCAGGTAAGCCTGGCCCGGGACGGGTGCGCTTCAGCCCGAAGACAGCGTGTCTCCCCGTCCCGGTGTCTCCCTCTCCTTACCCCACCCTGTTTCCCCTGCAGGCTGACGCTCATCTGCCTTTCCCCGGAGAAATGTGGGCTGGGGCTGGGCTTCTGTCAGATGCATTTTTTGCTCCCGGAGTTTAGGGACTAAGGTGGCAGCTGGCAGGGGAGGGGGGGTTGCTTCTGAAACTGGGGGTTGAGGGGAGGGTTAAGGGCCGAGAAACCCAGAGTCTGAGGGAGACGACTTCTTTCCTCAAACGCAACTAGTGGGAACTTCGGAAAAGTTTTTTGAAGGGAGATGGAGAAGGGAGCGGAGTTGGGGTTTTGAGGGTTAAAGTGGGAGAGAGGGTGCTCCACTTCCCGTTCTGAAAGAAGATCGTGTGTGCTCGGTCCCCAGTCGGGACCCTTTACCAGCCTAGAAAAACCCAACTGCGTCCCAAACCTGCCTGCCCCAGCAGGCCTTCAGAGACAGACGCTTGGAGATCCCCAGGCGCGCCCCGCAAAAAGGGAAGGCAGCGCCAGCCCGAGTTTCCAACACTGCCGGACGGGCGGGGGGTCCGCCCAGAGCCTTAGTCCGGGACTGCCAAGATCCCTGCTGTCCAGGAACTTACGTTGATTCTAAGTTAGGAGTGACCCGAAAGAAAGAACAACTCCCAAAATATCTTTTTTTTTTTTTTTTCTCCCGTGAATCCACTTTGAGTCAGAGACCCATTTCCCTAAGTTGGAACCCAGCGAGTGCCCCCTCCCACCTCTAGCGCAACCTCCAGGTCTTCTCCAGCTCCCAAAGGAGGGCAAGGAAAAGAGGCCCCATACTCCCCTCCCAGGGCTGAGATTTCCTCCCCACCCAAGAGATGCCCCAGGAGGAAGGGATGGAGAGGCTCTTCAAAGGGCAGTCAAGAGCAGAGGGCAGGTTCAGAGGACACAGCTGAGCTTGGGGCCCAGGACGAGCAGGAGGGGCAGGCCCAGGAAGGTGTAGAAGCTCTTGGGTGGCTTGAGCAAGTGGAGGAAGGCAGAGGCTGCTGCAGGTGGAGGGGGTGTGGGGTACCCTGGAGCTCGTGGTGTCCCTGGGCAGGGAGGTCCAGCCGGGCCAGCCGGGCGGGGAGGATCTGTACTGTGCCTTTAGTTTCTAGGTTGGGCCCCTCTCCTGGGGAGCCCCAGGCTGGAGGAGCCAAGCAGGTGGCAAAGAACACATTTGGACTCCTTGGAAAGGGCCAGGAAGGGATGTGGATCCCAGGAGAGGCAATTCCCATGGGAACGTGTGGTGGTCTGGCCCTTCCTGGGCCCACAGTTCCAGAGGCCACTTGGCCCTGCTGGGTCAGAAGCTGAGAATCTGTCCAGGCGTTTCTTTTCACTCTTCCTGAAGTTTTTCTGCTGGTGGCCCAGTGGCTAACCTGGCGCCTGCTTGGCATCTGCTCATTGGCAAGCCCCGGACAGAGTTGGACGGCCTAGCTGAGCGGCTTAGGAGGGCTTCGGCTGGCACTGCCTACAAGGAGTTTGGCTTGGTCGCCCCAAAAAAGGGTCTTTGAGGCCACTGATATTCAGAACGAATGTAAGCCCTTTTCTCTGTCCTCACATCCCGTGGCCCTTCACACCTCTGCAGCCCAGAGGATTCAGATGGAAGGCTCATCCATTCCCAGTCCCAGAGCAAATGTGGGAGCCGGCTTGGGTGTCTTCTTGCAGGCTGCTGGGGCTCTGTGTGCTCCGAGAGGTGTGTCTGGTCCTCTGCCTACCCCACTCCCCCTCTGATGAATGTGGTCCTTTTTGCTCCTGCCTCTCCAATACTGCCCCCCTCCCCCCTCCGCCCCAACCCCCAACCCAGTCCCACAGATCTATGGGAATATCTCTCTTTTCCTCTTTCCTTTCTCCTCTTCCCCTTTCTTCTTAGGATTGATGGAGTGACAGCAGCTTCGCCAGGCCTCCCTAAGCCTGTAGTGGGGAACTGTGGACCCAATCGTGGCTTCTCCAGTAGGGGAAAACAGGGAACCAGCTCTATTCCCAGGCCCTTGGGATTGAGTCTCAAGTTGAGAGGAGTTGAGAAATAAATGCATGAAGGATGACTGGGCTGACACAGGACAAAACCCTCGACTGGGGAGGGGCCAGTGTCGTGCCATGTGCCTATTGCCGAGAGGGACTTTAGAAACAAAGGAAGATAGGAGGAAGATGTAGGAAAACAGCACAAAGGACTGGAAAAAAATCAGAACAACCAAGAGAAGAGACTGGGAGAGAGGAAAAGCTATGAAAAGGCCCTAATGCTGGAGACAGAAAGGTACTCTGCCCGGGTGGAGGGTGGCTGGGATAGAGGTAACGTGAAAGGAATATTGATAAAAGGCAGAAGGAAGAAGCAGGACGGGGTTTGTTTGCATTTTTAAGATTAGAGATAGTCTGTGCCCTGTCAAAATAGAAAAAAGATTAGAGATAACGGCAGAAAGGAAGAGAAAGGAGAAAAGTAGGGAAAGGAACAGCAAATGAAGGGAGAGAGCTAGAGAGTAAAAGAAAAAGGACGGGAAAGAAAGGGAGGTGAAAGTGAGAAAAAAAAACGGAAGGGAGACAGGAAGAAAGAAAGGTAGAAAAGAAAGAAAGACAGGGACGAGGGATAGAAGGACGGGCAAGGGAAAGGAACGGAGGCAAAAGAGGAAGTGAGATAGGACAGAAATGAAGCAAAAGAAGAAAGGAAAATGAGAAATGAAGATGCAGTGAGATAAAGAAGGAAGAATGGGCGTGAGGAGAAGGGGGGCAGAGAGAAAGAGAGACACGAACTCAGCTAAGGTTAACAGTTAACAAAAAGGGGTCCCGTTCCTGAGGAGCATGAGGAGGGAAGAGGAGATGAAGGCTGAGCAGTAAGAGGCCAGTTGGGGCCTCTCCAGGCTTCACTTTGGGCTGCCGGGGTCCTGACCTACCACCTGCTCCACCATCTCCAGGACCCAGCCCTGAGTGACGGCGGCCTGTGAAACGTGGGAGGTAGAGGCAGGGGCCGGTCGCCTGCTTACGGGCTTCTCGAAGCAGCTGAGCTACCTGGAGTTGTTCCTGTAGCCCTACCTGCCCGCGGCACAGCCCGCCAAGCTGGACGTGTGGCCTTGAGGCCCTATGACATGCAGGTCAAGATCTGGTTCTAAAAGCTGCGCAGGAAGTCAAAGAGGCCAGCGAGGCAGGGACTGGTTGCGGATTCCCACCCTGGCGGCCCCTTCTTCCGGGCTCAATCCCCTCACCCACGGTCCCAAGCGCCTCCATTCCAACCCTGCTGGTAGAGGCTGTCTGGAGACTGGGCGGCTTTGTTCTGAGCTCGGAGGTGCCCTCATTCTGTGACCTTGGGCCTCAGTTTGATCAGTTGTTAAATGAGCCCGTGGCACTAGAGGGTTTTTCTCTAGTTTGGGTGAGCCTGCCTGGGTATGTGCACGTGAGAGAGGGACGAAGATAAGGCCTGGTCCACTTTGCAAAGGTGGGGGCTGGGAGTGAGATCTTCATTTTCTTCCATGGGTCAGAAGAAAAGTACGCCTCCTTTGCTGTCCTAATCTTCACCCCGCCCCAGAAAACCACCTTCCAGGCCAAGGAGTTTCGCCATGCCAGGAGGGGTTCGATTCATCTACCAAGAGCTTGGCAGGTTTGCAAATCTTGGAAGAGCCAGAGAAAGGATCTCATACATGAAAGGGAAGGAAGACATTCCCTACCAGGGCAAGTGGACCTTAGGTCTGCAGTAGATTTCACTGAATTCACACACACAAAGAGATTAATTGGTAAGGGGACTTCAGATTCAGCTACAGAGGGGATCACTTGGGGTTGTTGGGCATCTTTAGCCTGTTGGGCCTGCGTTCTTCACACCCCGTTCATGTGCTCTGATTGATTCACAAGGTTTCTTAGAGCCAATTCCTTTGTCTCCCGAAAGTGGGATGGGACAGGTCACTGAGGTCTGCCAGTTCTTCCCAGGGCAGTGTAAGCCTTGAGGATGGGCTGGGGCACCCCCAAACCACTGGCTAGAAAGGCGTTTTCATAGTAAACCGTGCAGTACCCTCTCAGGGAGGCCTCCGACCAGCACTGCCCAGCATTGCTCTTTAAACTTTTCTTCCCCTCTTTGCTCTAGCTTCTTCCTTCCTTTATTTCTCTTTCTCTCTTCATTCCAACCTCTCTGATTTTCTGTCTCCCTTTTCATCCAGTCCAAGTTGGGGGTCTCGTACTATCTTCGCGTACCCAAATGGCTCTGCTCGGAGCCCTTTAGGCTGGTTAACATGCACTCCGCCCTCAAGAGTTCATTATGCGGATGCAATAGCAGGATAAGAAGACAGGGCGGGGGAGGCTGGGCTCAGTGGCTCACACCTGTAATCCCAACACTTTGGGAGGCCGGCGTGGAAGGACTGCTTGAACCCAGGAGTTCAAGACCAGCCTGGGCAACATGGCAAAACCCTGTCTCTATTAAAAATACAAAAATTAGCCAGATGGTAGTGTGCACTTGTAGTCCCAGCTACCCAGGAGGCTGAGGTGGGAGGCTTGCTTGAGCCCAGGAGGCACAGGCTGTAGTGAGCTGAGATTGTGCCAGTACACTCCAGCCTGGGTGACAGAGTAAAACTCTTTATTTAAAAAAAAAAAAAAAAAAAAGACGAGGGGGGAAATGGGTAGTAAGCTTTGCTAACCAGATGTGGGATGAATCAGTTGGTTTTATGTATTAATCATGATTATGACCTTCACATCCCCTTGGCTTACCCCTAGACAATTCTTCTGCACTCCCAGCCATCTGCAAGCCACCGTCAGCCTGTCCCTGCTCCTGAAAATGGAATTGCTGATGCCCTCAAGGCTGTTACTCTCCCAGGGTGAGTGAGAATGAGGTCAATGATGCCAGGTCGGAACCTCAAACTCTTAAATAAGCAAAGCATATTTCCCTATTCCTGATACATTTAGGGGTCATCTATCCTTTGGAATGGAGAGGCTGGCAATTCTGGCTCTTGGCTATCTTTCCACAGAACACCACCGATTAGCCAGACCCACCACCATCCACATCTGCTCCGCAAAGAAGGAAGGCAGCTTGTTCCAGAGGTTGGTGAGCGGCTGCAGCCTGCCTGCCTAGAACAGCCTCCTTACTCCAGCCTGGCAGGGAAGGAATGAACCTGACTCGCTTCGCAGGATACGGAATCTCAGCAGGCAGAGCTGAGAGCCACAGCTGCATCCCAGAGCCTGATGGCTAGAAGCAGCTTCTGTCTTCGGGTTCTCCCTGCTGCCTCGGCCTCTGCACTGTTCAGTTTGCTGTTGTGTTTTTCTCCCTCGTGTTGGGGTGGTGGGGTACAGGGAAATGAGATGTTTTCTCCCAAGCCCCTGATGCTTCCCCATGCCTCCACCAGCCTCAGAGCTGCTGACAGTAATGAACTGCAGCTTCCAGCCCTTCCCATAAGCTACTCACAGCAAATTCAAATTCTCTTCTGGGCAGAAGGAAGGGCAGATGCTCCCTTCCTTCTCAAGCCTCCCTGGCTCATTGATCCATTTTGAGGGCATTTGAGGGTCAAAATTGAGACCAGATTGCTTCGGTTGATATAAAATTAGCATTTCTTATCACACCAAAGGCCACACCTGTTCTCTGGCCTCACAAACCAGTGAGGATGTGAAGGTTTGTTGAGGTGGAGGAATAGAAGCGAAATGAACAATCGGCTCCATTTAGAAGTCAGTCGCTTCAGCAGCTCATTCCACTAATATTTATCTAGTACCTACTCTGTGCCAAGCATTGTCTCTACCTCAGTTTGCCCCAGCTATAAAAAAAAAAAAAAATCCTTGCCACTATGAGGCTTCACTGTGTTGTGGACCAATATACAAATAAACTAATGGAAAAGAAAGCATGGTTCAGAGTCAGCTGATTTTCATTGCAGCTTTCCGTGTGCGGGGTCTCAGAGCCCTCGACTTCCCAGCTCCAGCTACCCGGCCCCAGCTGGTTGACAAGCAGGACTTCCTTGGGGCCCATTTGTTTTCCCCACTGGAAAAAAGTTAGAATAAGAGCAAGAGGCGTGTGCTGGGACCTGCCGCCACGAAAGTCCGTAATAAAGGGTTTGGGATGGTGGGCGGTGGGGCCCTCCAAAACTGCTCAGTCAGCCGTGCGGGAGGGTAGAGGTGATATGACATGCTTCTCCAGGCTGAAGAGCAGGTCTGTGAGTTGGCCTTGATGTAGTCACGTGTCTGAAGGTGATAGCAATGGTGTGAGTGTGCGTGTGCATGTGCGTGAGCTGAAGGTGGGCAGATAAGCGTGCCTGTACGCCAGGCCCAGACCCCTGCCCAGGTGCTGGGGTGTGTGTGTGGAGGGGGAGGGGCGCATGCAAATCTGAACATACCTCTCCATCCACGACCCTCAGTGTATGTGAGAGTGTGTGTACCCGCTGAATTATTATAAAATTACACTGACCCTTACAGAAAATCCATACCAGCCTCGGCCTTTCTCCTCCGACCTCTCGACCTGTGGGGTGCCTGAGGAAAGAGTTGACCCGGTCACTGCCTCCCCCTAGTCAATGAGTCCCCCTCCATTAGCATAAAACATGAATCTGCTGGCAGCTTGACAAATTATAACTAGCAGCCAGAGTTTTGCCAACTGGCTGGCTTGGGCGCTGTCTATTTATCATTGAAAATGGTAAATCATAAGAATCCAGATGACTTAATTATTCAAATCCACCCAGGACCCAGAGAAGCTGCAGGCCCGTCAATCTCAGCCCTGGGTTCTCAGAGAAGAGCGAGGGAAATGCTGGATGAAGCAGGTTCAATTGCCGCCTCTCCCATGCCCGGAGAGCAGGATTTTTTTCTGCAGCCCCTTCCCCTCCCTGCCGTCCTGCCTACCTTTCCAGCCATAAGCCTGGCCAATTGTTTTGGCTGCTGGCCTCCCGAGGCTCTCCCTCACCCACCTCCCGCTGCCCACCACCCGCTCCTCAGGCTCAGGCGGTGTTTCCCGGCCTCTCTTTGTGTGGATCTGTTAGCTCTCTCTTTCTGTTTCAGTGCCTTCATTTCTATTTCTTCTCTTTCTCCTATTCCTTTCACCACTTCTCTTCATCTCTCCTCTCCCTGGGACACTGAGCCCTGCCTGGCCTCTCTGGCGGAGTTTTGCCTGCTCTCCTGGCCCCTTTGTCCTCACTGTCCCAGAGGTGCCAACCTCAGGATCCCCATGCATACACACCCCAGCCTTAGCTCAGTGCTCCGAGTGCTGGAAGGCCTGAATTCACGTCTCTCCGCTGTGGGGCCATATGGAAGCACGCACGTCAGTGGGTAATACTGGGTCCCGGCCCCCACACCCCATACACGCAGCCTTTCTGTCCCTTTCTTCTGTGGATTTCTAAATCCCATTATGCATAACTTGGGAGGGAGTGGTCAGGCTGACAGAGATGTGCCCTCCACCACTGAGGCAGGGCTTCATCTCAAGGAGGCTTATCCCTCACTCCCATCGTGGAATCACCTCAAGCCCCAGCAGAGGGATTGCTCAACCGTGAGCTTTCCCAGAAGGAGAAGACACCCTGTTGACAGAACAAATCCTAGATCCAGAGGTCTGTGTGCCGAGCTTCTGGGGTCCTTTCATCTCTGTGTCCCTCACAGTCCGGTATAAGTACGTCCTACTTTTTCTGGCAGTCCTGGGCCCCATGAGAAATGTATGCCCTTCCAGACCCACAAGTGGCAGGCGGGGAGCACACATTCACCAATGCTGATATTGCTTTGACCCCAGAGGAGAATGCAGGGAACAAGGAGGCCACCAGAGCCCCTCGGCTTGAATGGCATCCTGGTCGATTCTGTCGGAGAGCTTGCTTTAGCTGCAAGAGCCCTGGAGACTCCTCAGAGCCACTTCTGTGTCTGCGGATGCTTGTCATCTTGGTTCTGGGATTCGGTTTGGTTTTGTCGGGGTGTGTGTGTGTGTGAGCACGTGCACACCTTTCTGTGGATCACCTGGAGTCTTGGCATACTGAGGGGTCGTGCCCGGTGGCGTGCGTGCCTGCACAAGTGTGCCAGTGCCCGTGGTGTGTATGTGGGTGGGTGGGTGTGAATGTATGAACACACACTTCCAGAAAGAGCCCTTGTACTGAAACAACCAGTGACAATGTCCCCACCAACAGGACACCTGAGGAAACAGCCCTCTCCATTCCATTTTAAGGCCTCTGAGCAACGGTGCTGTCAGTGAAATACTGGGCTTGGCATAGTATAAAACTCTAAAGAAGGAACTACCTGTTTCTGCTACTGAAAGTAAGTTCTTCCTAGAGTCTAGCCTTCTCTTCTTTCAGGGCAGAATATGAGTATAGTCAGAAATCTTGAGAGGGGTCTCCCTACTCCTCTGAGAGAACACACGTGGCATACAGGGGGCCTTTCCACAGCCAGCCTCATCCCCTCTGCTGCTAAAACACTGCATCCTCTCCCTCTTTCCTTCCTCCCCACCTTTCTAAGCCAGAGTGATATTTGACAAGGGCAGTGGTGAGGGGTGAAGCTTGGGGCGGGTGGTGGGGGGAAGGATCAAGATTCAAAAGCAGGCCAAGCTGCTGGAAGGCAGGAGATCAATAAGGGGAGACAGATTGGAGACAGGTTTCTCTCACTGCTCCCCCACCCCTCGCTGGCTCAGTGCCCCCGCCCCAGCTCCTGAAAGCAGGTGGATGACAGAGCCAAGCACTGGCCTCTCCCTGCCCTTATAACTCAAACAGGTTCCTAATCCCTGGGTAGAGGGTAAACAGCCTCCAAGCAGGGCCAGGATTAACCACAGAAATGCCGCTAATGTATTTCGGGGCACTGCTCCCTGCCCCCACCCCCACCCTGTGTTACTAATTAGCCCAACAGCAGGGAGAAGCTTCGGAGGAGCAGCTCAGAATGCCTTTGTGCAAGCTCTGAGAGCCCAGGTCTGGGCTCTGGACAGTGTCTCTTGTGCAAGACAAGCTGGGGTGGTAGAGGATTCCCGCCCCCTCCCCACCACTCCTAAATCAGCTCAAAGGCAGACAGGGGTTTTTTTCTCTGCACTCTCCCTGAATCCCCCTGTCTCTCCTTTGCTGTTCACAGCTGGGAGGCAGGTGGGGGACAAGAGGGAGAGTGGAATCGGCTCTGGAAATCAAACGATGCAATAAAAAATTAATTGTCTAATTAAAACCACGAGGAAGCCCCTTGCCAGAGTTTGGCTCTGAGTCGTCAGGGCTATAAAGGGTGGGAAAATGAGTCTCAGCTCCTAATAAATTCCTGATTTGCAGCTTGGTCTATCAGCAAAGGAGCACTGAGCGTTCCACTGGCTAGGCATCCTGGAGGTCATTTCGCCCTCCCTCTGCCCCCAGACCCGGCCATCACACCCAAAATCCCACACAGGCCCACAGTCAGGGTTTTCCCAAAAGGAAAGAAAGGGAAGATCCTCTGTCTCCCTGATCTGATGCTTACCCATTTCTTCCTGGTCTTTCCTCAGGAAAGGAAAGTTCTAGAAACTTCCTCGACCAAAGAGTTCTTCATTTAGGTTAACTAATAACTGTATGAACAAGTTTGCTATGTAGGTTCATTCCGACCTCACTTCCTCCACTTTTGTGAAAAGTATAATTTATGAACTGATTTATGATTCACTCTCTTAGATCTTAGCGCTGATTTTTGCAGGTGAATGACAGAGAACCAAGCTAAGGAATTCATCTCCCCTCTAAAAGAGGGCTGTGCATCCTGCCCAGTTGACCACAACCTTTGGAAGAATGAAGACAGAGCTAGTCCAGAAAAGAGTGCAGAGTTGGGCAACTCTCACTTGCAGACGGAGCCCAACCTTCTCCCTGAATCACTGCACCATTTCTTCACTTGGGTCTGCCTGTGTAGACACAGCCTCCATGCCTCTATTCCCTCCCTTCCTTGGCAAGCAAATGCATTATTAGAGGTATTAATTCATAATGGCAGGAGGAGGAGGTAGTTAGCATACTGCCTTCAACATCACATTACATTCTTTTATTATACAGAACACAATATGGACTCTATATCTGTGATTAGCTTCTTTGAACAAACTTCAAAACAGTCACCTGCAGAGACTATACACTCATTCCATATGTGCCTCTATTGATTAAAACATTTCTGCAAAGTCTCCTTTTGAAACTGACTTCAGAGCCGGTTTACAAAGTATTCAAGGCAACCAATATCAACTGATACATATTTTTTTGGCTGATTGATTCCAAAAAAAGCAAAGGATAAAGCTCTACCACCAATAAGGACGATAAAACTAACCGAGTCACACACCCTGAACACAATTCCACAACAAGAGCTGCAAAACATTGTCTGTGTCACTGCAACCTCGTTGAAATAAGGGGGTCTCCCCACAAGGAGACTACTCGGAGGCAGCGGTGCCCGTCCAGACCCAGATCTTCACAGCCACATCTGGAGCGCATTATTCATCACTCCTGATGATCTTTCGTTCATCTGGTTGTTATTTTTCATCCTAAACGATGGACTAAGTTTTCCCTAAGAAGGAGAAAAGAGAAAATAACAAATTCCTGACCTCCATCTAGGTCAGGTTCCCATTTCTGATTTCAGCGAGTTACCAAGCACAAGTGTAGGCATGGTGGCTGGGCCGTTCCGCTTCTAAGACCCGCACACCTGGAGACTGGAATGTAGATTCTGGTTCTGACTCACCTCACTGTTGTTACTGTTGTTTATTTTTTGTTTGCTTTTTCGTGGAAGTTTTCTTTGAGGCAGGGTCTTGCTCTGCCACCCAGGTTAGAGTGCAGTGGCACGATCACGGCTCACTTCAGCCTTGACCTTCTGGGTTCAAGCAATCCTCCATCTCAGCCTCCCAAGTAGCTGGGACTACAGGTACACACCACCATGCCTGGCTAATTTATTTTTTATTTTTTGTAGAGATGGGATCTCCCTATGTTGC